TCAAGAAATAAGATCGTCTAAAAACAATTAACCACCTGCTCCATAATCAAGATTTTCAATGCTTGAGTGGAGATATTCATGCACTTGAACCAACTTTTCATTCTCTTTCTCAACTTTCTTCTCAAGACCTTCGAAGAATTTAAGTTTGTCTTCAGCATCCATCTGATAAAATGGATCTCGCCCCGCTAACTCGTTTTCTCTAACTCGAAAAACAATGTCTCTAAGACCATCATCTTCCATCCACTCAAGTTCATTATCATTCTGACTATACTCAAGCTGTGTTATATCAATATTTGAATTCGGGTGTTGACTTGCTATTTCTTTCGCAACCTTGTAGTTTTCCCTAAATCCCTCCCCGATCTTCTTTACTATGGGTTCAACTTCGTCAAAATTTTTCTCAATCCAGTTTTCTGTCCCTACAGACTGTCTTCTCTCTGTAATGCTGCCATTAGTGCCGTGGTTTAAGGAAGTTCTGGGCTTTTGAAGATCATGCACTCCCTTTTGGTTCTTGGAATTGTCATTCTTGGCTGGAACAAATTCCTTCTCCTTACGAGTTAACTCTTCACATGGATTTGCAGCAGGCCCGGACTCTGATATTCTGCCTGAAATGATTGGTTCAGACACCTTTTCTTCCACTGCCCCTCTTTGGCTTGTTTCCCCACTAAATTCTTCGTCATCAGGAATCCCCAACACAGAAGCACTTTCCTGCACTGCGATAAATTGTGGTTCTTGGATATGTTTGACACCTTTTTTGGCAAGAAACTCCCTAGCTTCTTTGACAGACCGTATAACCCTTGGTTTTCGTCTAATAGACCTGTTCTTTGACTTGCATGAATCACCATCAGGAACATCAAAAGAATGGATAACATCTCCACTGACCATTGTTTCCCTATCATCTGAAAAATTTATACTTGAAGTGCCAGATTCTAGCATGCCCTTGTTCTCTTCAGCAGATAACTTAGGATGGTATCCAGTATCATCACTCTCCGTTTCATTTAATTTTTTATTCACTCTAATTACATCCACATCCCTTCTGTCTACTGAATCTTTATTTTGAGTTTCACTAGGAAAACTTGCAACCTCTTTGTGCTCTTCAACCATCTGCATCTCACTGAATGGCTCCTCATTCACAGGTTGCTTTTCTTCCATACCGTTGTTGAGTTCTCTAGTCTTACTCTCCCGGACTTGCTTTGCCATTTCCCTAATTGTCTGGATTTCACGATCAAAATCCATTGCATTAGTAGTTTGAGAATTAGAAGGATCCACCAAAAGCAATTCATTTTTTGAGGTTGCCTTTGCTTTGAATATATTTTTCATCAATTCTTGCTTATCCAACTTAGGCCTTTCCGTCAACACCACTGGTGATTCCAAAGATTCTTGAACAACTCCAACTCGATCCTTCTCCAATCTCTCCCTTCTAGACTTTATCTTTCTCCTCATCATTTCCTTTTCCAACTCCGTCCATTGCTCCTCCTTATTTCCAAAACTGAATAACTTCTTCACAGCCCAAATCGCAACAAAACCACAAAACACCATCGTCCCAACTCTCGAGACCACAGGAATAAACTCCTGTTGACGAACAACACCATGAATTCTGTTAAAAAACCGAGACTCCACCCCATCAACAACAAACTTGGCAACAGAACTATTCCTAGGAATCACATTTCCACCTCTCTCCATCTCTCTAGCTAAACCTTTCGCATACAAGATTTTAGAATTCTCCTCCGTCAAATCCCCAACTTCTCGCTTCTCATTTCCGCTTCTCTTTAAAATCTCATCCTCGTTAACTAAAACCCTCTTCACATTCCCTTCTAAGTCATGAAAAACAGTGAAAATGGGAGCAGACCCAGTACCCCAATACGCGGTATCTTTACTATACTGATCGACCCACTTGTCCAACTTACTCACCAAAACAGAATCACCCAATTTTTCCACTTTGTTTTGCCCTCCTATTAAACTGTCTGATTTATCAACATCAAACCCATTACCAAAATCACTCTCTTTTACACTAACACGATCCAAATTCTCAACAGAATTATTTCCATTATCAAAGCTAAATTCTGAGTTTTCAAAACCATAGCTTTGATTTTGAAAAGTAGTCTTTTCACGCACCTGTTGATCATCAATGAGCTTTTTCCTAAGTGAGTTTCTGCGATTACCAGCGGGTCGACCAAAATGAGCTGAAACATGAAAGATTCTTCTGGTGGTAGAGAACGGTAAGCATGAAGGAATTGAGAGGAATCTGGAAGGGGTTTTGGTGTTGCAACTTTTGATGGAGAATTTAGGAGTGAAGAGGGAAGTGGAAGAGAAAATTAGAGGTTTGTTTAGCAGGGGAGGATTTAGAAGCTCCATTAATAAAGAAAAATACTAAAGAGATATAAAATAGGGGAGAGAGATTTTTCTGGGTTTTTAAGCCATCGCTAAAACCCTTCCCTCGCACAAAAAGAAATGGTTTGTCCTTGAATAATTTTCCTTTATCTTTTTCACATCGCCACCAGAACGACATGCTTATACGCCGTTTTACGTACTCGCCTCCTCTGAAAATACCCCATACTCCTCCATCCAAAACAGGAGTATTAGTATGAGCTTGTTTCTATGTGAGGTCACCTGTGTTTTTTTCAAAAAAGATTTTTTATTTTAATTTTTTTTTATTTTTAAATTTTTTTATATTATATCAAAAATATTTAAAACAAATATTTTAATGCTATTCAAGTAAAAAAAAAAATTATCGTAATATCAAATATTATTTATGAGTTAAGTTAAGTTGTTATCCTATCGAATAAATTTATTTATCAAAATATTATGTTTTTCAAAAATTTTATTTTGAAAGTTTATTTTTCTAAATAAGTTCATATCTTATTATATTATTCTAATTATATATATATATATATATATATATAAACATTAAAAGATGTGGTTAGTGGACAAAGCGTCCTTGTGACCTATCTCATAAATTATAGAGTAAAATAAAATAAAATCTTGTTTTGGTAATCAATTTTTTTTTCTCCTTGATTGATGATCAATTGTTTTTTTATTATTAAAAAGGACAAAATTAAAAAATAAAGCATCAAAATTGAAAAGGCAGCGAAATAGATGGCAATTTAAATGTTTATATGAAAAGTTTAATTAGCCCACAAGCTTTCCAATTTCTAGATTTTTTATCTTTATAGTTTTGTAAAATTCAATTATGGTCCAAAACTTTATTTTTATTATTTTTTTGTCCCTAATTTGACAAGAAGAAAGAGTTATTAAATTTCGGTGAAAGAGGAAAAAAAACCCTTAAATGACCTCGGATTCCAAATAAATAGGGGGTAAAAACTCAGTTAGCATTAATTTTAACAATAAAAAAATTTAATTTTGATGTTAATAAGTTTTATTTAATAAAAGAATTTTCATTTAAGTGTTCTTTGCCCATCATCTTACTTGAGATAATAAATTTGATCTCAAGAATGATTTTTAGTTTTAGATTAGTTTTTTTTATTTTTGAACAACTCTTTGTTAATTTAGATTCGTGAAAGGGTTTATTTTGGTCTATAGAATATTGCTACGTGTTGTGAGGTAAAAAATTACTGGAAAACAGGTTGTTCATCTAGAATTTGCTATGTTAATTTTTTTTTTATTAACGTGGGTGTCCGGGTCAGCTTACGCGCACCACGACTAATCTCACGGTCCACTGAACATCCTGCAAGCCCAGTGAACAGGTAAGGCACCGCGGGGGTGACAGGCGTACCACACAAAGAGGAGCCAGCAGACATAGGAAGGAAATCACTCGCCAGCCCCACTGCCACTGGAACTCGAATCGAAGTTCGAAAGAAGGCGAGCAGCGCCTTACGCCACTGAGCTACAAGCTGCTTGGTGATCGGTGGCCAAACCAAACTCAACACGTCATGCTCCAAACCTTTAAAACAAAAAAAAAAAAATTACATGGACGGGTGTGTAAGTCTATCCTTCATTTTGATCCCAAGATTGCTCCATCAAGCCTGGACTTCTGAGCTCCTTTTTAAAGGCTCTTTTTAATATTTTTAAACTTCATTTAAATAAAATCAATAAAATTATTATTTTTTAAATCATGCACAAATAAAATTATTTTTTATAAGATTATGTGTGGATAATTTTCTTTATCATTTAACTTCTTTTATAAAAAATAAATTTCTTTAGTTTGTTTTTCATGAATGTTTTTTTAACAACCCGAGTAATGGATTAATTCAAGTTTATAGGGGTTTTTTTAGCTTTTTTTAACTTTGATTGGTTAAGGTTTTGTTGTTTTTTAATTAATTTTTTTATTTTTTTTCATTAATATTAATTTGAAAATCGACTTTCATGTTTTTTTATTTCTTTTCTACATAGTAATTTTATTTTTGGCAACTTTACTTAGATTTACATATGTCTCTATTTTTTGTATTTCAAATTGAATGATTTTTTTTTAATATTTGATTAATTAAAATTAAGTTTTTTAATTTATTTTAATTTTTTTATATGAAATTAACATAATCTCATATCCAAATCATATGTTATATAAATTAATCAAAGTTGATCCAAGTACATCTAATTTATCACTATTTTAATATTTTAAAAAAATATATATATTATCTATGTCCCTATCTAATTATTTTAAAAGTGTCATTAAAAATACATTAAATTTTGGGTTAATGATTCTTTTTTTTTCCATAAAACACCTTAGCCATAGCCATGTTTTTACTTTTTTTTAACAACTAAAATAATAATAATCTGACTCATCTTATAAGTCAACATCTAGTTTTCTTCTACGATACCTCAATTTCCTTTTCTTTTTTTGAGCTTTTAGCCAAAGTGAAGATGCTATTTACTTGTTTTTACTCCTTTTTTTCTTTTTTCTTTTTTCTTTTTTCTTTTTTTGAGCTTTTAGCCAAAGTGACTGTCTTTTATTATAATATGTGAAAGTCTTAAAAAAGCCTAAGATGAGGTGAATTAGAGCTTTATCAAGTAGAAAGGCAAGCTACAAAGGAAATTGCCGCAGCTGGTAAAACCATTGAAAGGCAAGGCCAGGGTAGTTTTATCAGTAAGTTTATTAACAATTTATAAAGCGGCCTCCGGTATTGTACATGAGGATTCTTAAAATGATCAGCATTTTAGTAACAGTATTACAAGAAATAGATCGCACAGTAGAGAGCAAGAACGTGATAATTAGCCTAACTACAAAGGTTGGGAATGCATGCCCCACCTTCGGGGTTCTGCTGTTCTTTCCATATCCGTCCTGTAACTCGCAGCTTTAACTCCTTCCTATCTCCTCCAGAGAAGAAAAGTGCCATGTTACGTTGTATAATAAGTCCATCATGGCTGTCCCTAACCTTCCTGTGACTATCTCTTATACTCCGTGGTGTGCCTTCCCAAATTAGTTTCCGACCATTTCCCCCAACCTCCAGGCTGTAGCTGTAATTCCGAGCTTCTGTCTCATCACCCATGAATCTGAGGAATGCCATATAAACAGGAGCCATCCCAAGTTGGAAAGCTTCAAAATGGAGGCAGAAATACTGGCCAAAACAGTGGAAAACCTAAAGCAAAATGATTAAAAACAGAGTTCGGTAATTGCCAAAGTAAGAAAAAGTATCCTTGATATGAAGAATACTATGCTTTGCTATGCCACTTAATGAAGCACATATAAAAAATATTGACCATTTCTTAACTCAATCCATCTCTAATATGATATAAAAGAGTCCCGTCTGCACTAGGACCAGTGAAGGCATCAACCAAAGAGAATGCAAGCAAAACATAAGCTCAAGATTACACAGCTGACTGACATACCGTCTACATTTCAATTTAGTCTACACTAACACTTGTAACATTTCACTTACATGAAATTCAATATTTATTTGGAAGGATGGGAGTTAAGCAGCATAGCCATCATTTATGATCTCTTTAATGAGAAGATCAAGGAGTGAAATAAGTTCTTTGTATAAATGGCACATGTGACTTCACTTGTAGCATGATCTATGTTTGGTTACCATGTCTTAACATGATCAAAAGAACCAAAACGAAGCATGTCGTGCCCTAAATTGATCAAAAGAACCAGGAGAGAGAAGCATGTAATGTGCATCCAGGTATATGTGTGAGTGAATAGTAATCAAAATTCAAGTAAATAAGATAGACATATTCTTACTGTTAACATCCATGTTGCATTTTCTACTTCACGAGGATTAGACTTGACATAGCGATGGTTGAAAGTACACCCAGAATGCATGTCCACTTTGTGATCATCCCTCAGATGAGTAACAAGGAATGGGATATCCCCAACAATAACACACTCTGATCCAGCATATGGACAGTTATATGGCCTAAAATTGCACAAGTTCTCATGTTTTAGTTTACTGTAGTATGGAAAAATCTCTGGGCATCCAAGTGACATGTATTTGCAAGGTAGCTCGAGTGATTCAGCTACTTTTTCCAAAGCTAGACATCTAATGTCACCAAGCTCCTGTCTACAAGTGGGACACCGATTGTGTACTCGTGCTTTACAGGTTGAACAGAGTGTATGGCCATTGTGGCACTGCAGAAACAGCAATATGTAAACAAAAGCCAATGTCATCTAGGAAGCATGAGAAATTTTGGAAGCTAGCCCAAAGCAATAACAATAAAGAACAAGGATAGCTGCTTCCCGCAGTCAACAGCATTTAAGTATAAGTTTTCCTCCATTGCATGGATACAGTAACATAGTGTCTACTGTATACAGGTAAACTCCCACATCCAACTATAAAGAAGTCACCAGACAGTTCTCAACGGCCCAGTATCCAACTAAAATTCACACAGGCCTTTAGATTTCAAACTTTTAACGTTTTTAGCTGAAAAGCTCCCTGCTTACTGCAATCAACTGCCCTAACATATAAATGAAATCGAGGTCATCACACACATATGAATGGTCATAGGTTCTTAGAATCATGTGATGCAGGCATCTTTATTTAGTTCTTCAGGTTTCGAAGAGTGAAATTGCAATTAATTTTCAGAATCTTATACCGCTATAGCTGCCCAGCACGTACCCTAGCACTCTATCCAATTCTCGCCGCTGCCATGTCCTTGCATCTGTAAAAGCAGCGCCCAGCACAATACCCAAACGATGGATCCCATATGAATCTTCAAGTTCGCTACAGAGGGTACATCAGTACATGTATTTGCTAGTCCTTTGGGAGTATATTAAGATAACAAAACCAGCAAAAACCTATACTCTACAAAAGTCAAAAAACCAAAAACCTTCCGGGGCCATAAATAAATATACCTCCAAAATTCACTTAGCTGCACAGGCGCCCGGCGACCTAAATCTCCACAATCCAACCAATTAAACTAACAGGCACAAATCCTAATAAAACCAAGTCCGCAATTTCCACGGTTCAACGGCCCTAGCTATAACCGATCAACAACAACATAACAAAAGGCACACCAAACCCGCATCAAGCATTCAACAAATTAAAACCCAAAAAGGAAAAGCAAAAACATATGCTAAAAAAGAAAGAAAGAAAGAAAAGGGGGCAAACCTGATGAATAGGAGGGTACATAGAATTGGTACAAACGGGGCATTCAAGGAGCTCATGAACACTAGTAGAGTGAAAAGAAGAAGCCACAGTATTAGTATTGTTATTTGTATTAGTATTGGTGGTCGTGGTGGTGGTGGTGGTGTGTGACTTTGAAACAGAAGGGAAATGATGGAGATGGTGGTGGTGGTGGATCCCATCCTCATCTGTTAAATCTAAGGATGGCACACATTCAATGCTATCCAATTCCATTCCTACACCACCAAAACAACAACTTTCCAATCAAATTTATAGCTGCTGCTTCAACTCTCTTCCGGGTATTTCCAATCCACCTCTCCTTATTTATTCAAAGAAGAACACGACGAAGGAGATGTTGATTTCTCAAATTAGAAACACAAGGAAGGAGAGGTTGAATTGGATCAGCAGTAAGATCTGTTCGTGTTAAATCAACAGGGGTGCTTTTCTTTATCGGTGAGAGAGGGGGGGAGGCACTATCGAAATTGTAAGAGACATTAGATCAACATCAAACGGTTTCAAGCAAGAGAGGAAGGCAATGTCAGAAAAAGTTTCAGATAGGAGATTACATTAGCTGGAATAGTAATGATAGGAGGTAACTATACTATGATTACTAGATTATATTATTCCTTCTGTTTTAATTTACTTATTTTACCCCACTGCTGTTGTTGGCGGTAGATAATGGTGGAGAGCATGTAGGCCAGGGGTTGGGGGGCACATTATGTTATACCGAGCAAAGGCAGTTCCAACATGGATGGCTTACATTAACATGAAACACTGAAAAAAAAAAAAAAAATTCCTACAGTGCTTCACTGTCCGTGAACCATATTACTATATTTTTATTAAATTGTTTGAATACCCACAGCAGGAGTGGTTGTTGCGTATATGTAAACCAGTTGCTATTTGGTGTTATGGTTCATTCATGTTTATTTTTTAATTTTTATTAAAAATAATTAAAAAAATTAAATTAATATTTTTTATTGTTTTAATTTGCTAATATTAAAATTAAAAAAAAATAATATATTTTGAAGCAAAAAACACTTTAAAAAATAATATTTACTACACTATTAAACAAACATGCTTATGAGATTGAGAATTGAAAATTACACTATTTTCTTTAAGAAACTAAATAATTTTTTTTCAAGAAAAAAGGATGTGTGCACATAGTTTGCAAAAAAATTTGACCAGATTTACTTACTTTTCATATTGGATATTGTTTCTAAATATTGTTATAAAATGTTAATTTAAGTTTAATGTTTTTTTCAATTATTATATAGTTGAAGTGAAAATAATAATACTAACAATAAATTATTTATTAAAATTTAATTTTTTATTCAAGTTAAAAACCTTGTATTTATTAAGATAAAAATGAGATACGTTAATAAAAAAAATTATTTTGATGAAAAATAATATTTAAAACAACTGTATTTTTAGGTTTAATAATGCCAAAAAAAAAAAACTCAAAAACCTGGACTTTTTATGTTTAAAAAACTTTATTCTCCGGACAGTTATTAGCTCCGTTAACTGGTGTGATTCTTTAAAAATAAAAAAAATATCGTTGCATGTTTGCTTATTCACTACTTCTAGGGTCTCATATTTAGGGGACATCAATTTCAACAGTTCTCAATTTTCTCTTATGATGCCATGACGTCATTAAAGAACATGTTATACACGCACACACACCTTCAGAAACAATAATTGAGTTTGCACTGGTTTCTCCTCCATTATTATAACAGAACCAAAAAAAAAAGAGCATTATTTTTTAATTGTGGCAGACCTGGTTATCTTGATTATACAGTGTTGTCGTGTGAGTGAGCAATGCCTGAAGGGGCAGACCTGATCCATACAGTGGCTGTAATGAAATTCTAAGGTCGTCTGGGCCACTTTCCATTCAACTCAACTTCAATTCAATCCCTTCAAGCTTGCATGCTTGATGTTATCGAATGCTTCTCCTCTGTTCCTCCATATTATTGCACTCCGATGTGTAATTCCACAACCAGAGCCTAATTACAGGTGCACGGCCACCTTGATATCGCGGAGGGCATGCATTAGAGTGGGCAACGGCTAACAAAATAGTCGAGATTGTCCCCAGGTATTTAGATTTCATGGTTTAACAGATCCATCAAGACACCGGCATGCACCAAGAGTGGTAATATATTTGTGGTCTCTGAAACGTGGACAGATTGTCACCTATCCTCTGGCATCATGGTTAAAAAGATGATTTAGAATGATAATGGGGGGGTGGGGGGGGGGCATGGTTTCTACGTTACTTCAAGATGAAAGAGCCATTATGCGCAAAAAGAATTCAATTCTCCCCTTTGTCGCCTTTTTGTCTGCCTCGATAAAGAATGTAGCCAACTAAAATAACGGTTTTGATTCTCCCTTGTTTCACAAGTAACCAAACATGGTAACATATCAAAAACATCAGTTCAGTACCTTTTCGGCCTACCAGCAATTCCAACCGCACTTCGAAAGACTAGTGTTGGGGATTTTGATTAATTTCTGACTTAAACAACCTGTTCGTGCATGCTCAATTTTCCAGTTTAACCAAGCCATGAATCATTGCATGGCAAGACACGCCAGACACCTAATTCCTGCCATCTGAAACGCGTGCAATGTGCAGAAACAGATATAGGATTGCCTATTGGCAACTAAAAGTCTACAACAGAGTTCATATTCTGGGAAACTCATAGGTGTGAATAATCTCCAATGCTCTGCTTCTTTATTTTTGTCCTGTGATTAAAATATCTCACAAAAATGTTGAAAATATATACAATCACAGAACTTTCCAATTAAAGCATGCAATTACAAGATTTCTTACAGAAGTACTCATCTTTCTCTGTTCTGGAAGGCCTACCAGCATCGAGTAGATGCGCACCATCACGGGACGTGCAGAGCAGAATTCTTCTGCTTCGACAGAAAACTGAAACTGTTTGTTGGTATGAACGAGACTGTTTGTCCATTACCAGCATAAGTATCTTCAGATGCTTCGTCTTTAAGAAAGCCCAAATCCCAAAGGCAATATCCGTATTCTACCATTGATTTGGAAAGGCTTCTCTATAATTGGCATCTTCACCCAGCGTCAGCTGCCTTGTCATTGCATCACTTGCCCTTGTATTCAAAAGTCTCTGAGACAATCTATCTTTTGTGGTTACTTTCTTGCGCAACATGGATGCGAGGGTATCTTTCTTGTTTCTAGCCAACAAACTGTCCCCGCTGGATGCCTCAACATTGTCCCCATGAACTGAAGATCTTGAAGTTGAAGCCACTGCAGCATCCCTCAGGACAGCTTCATTGTGTTCCCGTATCTTTGCAAGCTTAGCACGTTTCTGTGACTGCCTGTCCATTTTTCTTTTCCTTGCTTCCTCATTATCTCTGTCCCGAACATTCTTCACAGCTTGTTTGGCTAATTGCTCTTCTAAATCAGTCCCTAAATCAAGAGTTAAATCACTTGTTGAAGTGCCTTGATTGATAGGATTTCCTTCATCATCACGGGGAATGATGGGTCCATGAAAGGGGCAAACTCTCAAATCTCTTCTCTGACAGAGCCCACCCTTCCCTAATCGAGCCCGACATGGCTGGATTTCAACTCTGTCTTCTTTGTAAATAGTTGCATGAAGGTTTAATTCAGCAATTTTCTTTGCTGGAATAACTGCATCATGGTCCACCCTACCCCAGTGACTTTCAAGCTCCAGGCCCCTGTGGTTGGCTAAAACATCCCTGTTTGAACCCCATGTGTCCAAAAAAGAGCCCCACTCTATCCCTGGAGCCACAGTCATCAGCTTGCTTCGAAGAGAGCTGGAATCAGTTCCACCACCTTCAGAACACAGAAACTCATCGCGTTTCAACTTCTCGGTGCTGCATTCAGAAGGGTCATTTTTCACCTCTCCAGAAGTTGATGGTGCAGCTGAATTTTCGTTTTGCTTATTGGGTTCACTAAAACTCCCAGGGTCAGTTGATTCAACTTTACCCTCCTCCCAAAAATCTTCTTCCTCTTCTTTTTCATGCTTTGTAATGTCTGGAAGAGCACAACCTGATTCAACACATTTCTTCTTCACTGATTGAAGGTGATTTCGGATGTCAATGAACTCCTTGAGCATAGAATCTCTTAATCTCGTATCTGCCACTTCAACCCTGATTAGAACAGAGATTCCTTCTTGGACTGAAACCAAGTGCTTGGTCACTAAAAGCTTGTATAACTCCCTCAATGCATCAAAAACCACTTTATTCTCACTGTTCTCACAAACCTTCTCCCCCTCTTTTAACGAATCAAGCCGGAGCTGACGCAACTCCAAAGGACGAAACTCTTCAAAATCCTCATCATCATCTAGAGCACCAAGCACAACATTGGCCTCTTTATTCTTCACAATCTCTAAACACTCCCCAATCTCATCAACTGTTTCCCGAATTTCCTCCTTCAATGGCACTAAATTCTCCTTCAAAACCTCAAACTTCTTAACTAGAATCTCTTTCGTCTTCATCTCCCTTTCCCTCCTCTCCTGCTGAACTCGAGCTGCATTAGCCTGAACATTTGGGAACTGAAGCCGGAGCGTGGTTTTAAGGTAATCAAAACCTAACCTGATCTGTCTGTAATGAATTCCAAACGAGGAATTCCATTTCTCCAAGAATTCAATCGCTTTCGAACGCAAAATAGACGCAACAGCCGGTGGAGCAGGAAGGGGATGGTTTCTTCTAAATCCCACGCTCAAACTTAACAACTGATCTAAATTCTCAACAACTAGAGTTCTAAACAGCTTTGATCGCATAAATAGCTCATCAATTATTAGAAGCGTCAAATACCTAACCTGAAAAATCACAATTTATTTTTCAATTTTGAAGCGTAGATTTTGCCCTAAAATTACACATTAAAAAATGAATAGTGATGAAATAAGATGATAATGTGAGGGGGGGAACAAGCGGAAGGGAACCTGAGAGTGGTCGCGTTTCATGAGATCCATTAGGGTTTGGGCGGCGAGTCGGAGCTCCGAGTCAGAGTATCGGACAACCGTTTTGATGGCTTTGAGGAGGCGGGGGTCGACGAGCGCCGCCGTGGAATTGGTGGCCTTTTCTATCAACGCCCTCACTTTTCCGCCACCCTCTTCCATCTCCATTAATCCGGCAGCGAAGTAATTAATCAAGAAAACAGAATTTTGAAAACTCGCTCCAATTATCTCTCTTATTTCGTACATCTGCTTGTTAGGGTCAAAATTCGCTCCAAGTCAAGAAGTCGGTTATTAGTTGATTACCGGCTGTGCCCTCCTTTGTTAAGTTGATTTACATTATTACCCCCTTGTTCTGCCAGAGCTTCTGGCTGAGTTCACACATTGAGGATGAATGATGACTGTTGTGGTAAACTCGCTGATAGATGAAATTAATTGATGAAGACTATTACGGTAACTTTGCTCTCTGTATTTTTTTCTCCTCTCCGGATAGGCTTTTAAATTGAGAAAAACTCTATAGGATGTCAGAATCTCTTTTATTAAAATAAGGAATTAATTTCTATATTTTTTAAAAAAAAAAGTCATAAAATAAAATAAAAATAACTATTTAAGAAAAGTCATAAAATAAAATAAAAATAACTATTTTTTACCTTCAAATTTCTCCTTTCTTTT